AGACAGAACTTAACTTCTATCTTAAGGAGCTTCCTGTCTGTTCATGGTCATGTATCCCTGATCCTTAACATGGTTTATGTGGTGGGTGACCATGTCCTTTATTGTTCAAACTGGGACACTTATGAGAATGGAAAGCGGTGCTATTAATGATTATACTGGGGAAAACCAAGACTACCCTGGGAAAACCGAGTGTGCGGCTGCCGAACTCCTAAGACATCACTCTCTTCTTTTTTTTTAGAGATGGAGTCTCACTATGTTGCCCAGGCTGGAGTGCAGTGGCTATTCACAGGCGCGATCCCACTACTGATCAGCATGGGAGTTTTTACCTGCTCCGTTTCTGACCTGGGCTGGTTCACCTCTCCTTAGGCAACGTGGTGGTCCCCCGCTCCCGGGAGGTCACCATATTGATGCCGAACTTAGTGTGGACACCCGATCGGCATAGGACACTACAGCCCGGAACTCCTGGGCTCAAGCGATCCTCCCACCTCAGCCTCCCGAGTAGCTGGGACTACAGGCACGCGCCAAGGCACCCGGCCACTCTCTTCTTCTTTAGGAAACACATGCGTAACCCTTAATTCCAAGCCCATCCTCCGCCAGCTGAAAGCACAAGCCCAGCAGCCTCAGTTTTCTGAGCATCAGAGAAAGAGTTCGGGAAAAAACAGCTATACTTAGCAGCATGAGGAAACCTAAGCTGCCCATGGAAGAAATACAATCTGAGAGCCACAAGTAAATAAATACAAACCTTTTTTCTTTCTTTCTTTCTTTCTTTTTTAAAGACACACTAGTTGAAATGACTCTCTTATCCTGATATGTTCTTTGTGGCCTCTCGAGAAGGGGGCAGGGAGGGGGTTAGACTGGCAAAGGAAACCACTTCCCCTCTGAAGCTAAATATGGTGTAACTACTCTTCGGAATAGTTGATGGGGGAGAAAAATAAACAAGACAGAAAGCCAGGGAGAGATGAAACCTCTCAGCAGAGAAAATGGGAAAACTACTGATGCCAGGACAGCACATTTCTAAGGAGACCCAGCTCCTGATTCCTGCCTCATGCCTGAGAAATGCACACAATGCATTATCCAAAGGCTCCTGGATGAACACCTAAACTGCAATGCAGCCCCACCCTGAAGCAAAGATTCCTCCTTCCTAAAAGTGAAAGATGAGTCACCATAAATAGGACATTTAGTTAAATTTAAAAAAAAAATTTTTTAATGGAACATCCTATTATCCCTGAGACAGAGGCTGTCAAAAACTTCTCTGGTATCAAATGCTAAAAATGTGGTAGTAATGGGAGACTTGGCGGGATTACTAGCTGTCTTTATCCTGTGCAAAGAGGAGCATTCATGATTTCCTGAAAGTTATCATTAAACTATAGTTTAAGAGGAACATTCAAACTTAAGAGTATATCTGTCTAAATCATCTCTGTTTACAAAAGAAACCTAACAGGTGGCCTCTGGAGAACTGGATGGAGAGGAGAGAAGAAAGAGGATCTTTATCATTTTCTTTTTTTTTGAGACAGAGTTTCGCTCTTGTTACCCAGGCTGAAGTGCAATGGCACGATCTTGGCTCACCAAAACCTCCGCCTCCTGGGTTCAGGCAATTCTCCTGCCTCAGCCTCCTGAGTAGCTGGGATTACAGGCACGCGCCACCACGCCCAGCTAATTTTTTGTATTTTTAGTAGAGACGGGGTTTCACCATGTTGACCAGGATGGTCTCAATCTCTAGACCTCGTGATCCACCCGCCTCGGCCTCCCAAAGTGCTGGAATTACAGGCTTGAGCCACTGCGCCTGGCTTATTATTTTCATTTCATATCCTTTTGGTATTTAAATTTGTTCATTGTTCATTAAGTGCACATTTGCTACTTCTATAATTTAAAGCAATCTAGGCAGGACATGGTGGCTCCATCTGTAATCCCAGCACTTTGAGAGGCCAAGGCAGGTGGATCACTTGAGGTCAGGAGTTTGAGACCAGCCTGGCCAACATGGTGAAACCCTGTCTCTACTAAAAATACAAAAGTTAGTCAGGCATGGTGGCGCACGCTTGTAATCCCAGCTACTCAGGAGGCTGAGGCAGGCGAATCACCTGAATTTGCAAAGTGGAGATTGCAATGAGCTGAGATTGCACCACTGCACTCAGCCTGGGCGACAGACCAAGACTCCATCTCAAAAAAAAAAAAAAAAAAAAAAAAAAAAAAAAAAAAAAATTAAAGCAATCTAAATTGTTGGCATCTACCAGTATGTCTTGCCATCAGTTCATCTGCTAACTTTCCTAGAGTCTACTTTTCTCATTTCTCCAGGCCCTGGAGAGGCTATGTGGTGATGAAAGCTCTAAGAACACAATCTCACCTTTTACAAGTTTACAAGTTTGAAAAGAAGATCTAGATCTTGCTCCTTCGGGGAAGAATGCAGGGAGATTAAAGTTAAGATGCCAGCAATATTGGAAAAATCAAGTATTTTTCCAGCTTCATATTGCTGTAGAGAATATACTATTAGGGCCGGGCACAGTGGCTCACACCTGTAATTCCAGCACTCTGGGGAGCCAGGCCAGAGGGATTGCTTGAGTCCAGGAGTTCAAGACCAGATTGGGCAACATGGCGAGACCATGTCTCTACAAAAATACAAAAAATTAGTCCTGCATGGTGGCACATGCCTATAGTTGAAGCTTTAATGGGAGGCTGAGGTGGGAGGATCACTTGAGACTGGGGGGTGATCACACTACTGCACTCCAGCCAGCGCAACAGAGTGAGACCCTGGCTCAAAATAAATAAACAAACAAACACAGAATAAAAATAGAGACTATACTATTAACCTGGCGGTGGGGGAGGCTCTGGAGCAGGTGTCCCCAGACTACCGCCCGCGGGCCACATGCAATCCCTGAGGCCATTGATCCGGCCCCCCCACCGCACTTCAGGAAGGGGCACCTCTTTCATTGGTGGTCAGTGAGAGGAGCACAGTATGTGGCAGCCCTCCAACGGTCTGAGGGACAGTGGACTGGCCCCCTGTGTAAAAAGTTTGGGGACGCCTGCTCTGGAGGATACATGCCAGGGAGTAGATGAATACAAATAAATACTATTTGGTGAGGTTTCAGGTCCAAGGGCTCTTTACCAAATGGTAGAAAAGAGACCGGCCGGCCGGGCGCGGTGGCTCAAGCCTGTCATCCCAGCACTTTGGGAGGCCGAGGCGGGTGGATCACGAGGTCGAGAGATCAAGACCATCCTGGTCAACATGGTGAAACCCCGTCTCTACTAAAAAAAAAAAAAAAAATTAGCTGGGCATGGTAGCGCGTGCCTGTAATCCCAGCTACTCAGGAGGCTGAGGCAGGAGAATTGCCTGAACCCAGGAGGCGGAGGTTGCGGTGAGCCGAGATCGCGCCATTGCACTCCAGCCTGGGTAACAAGAGCGAAACTCCGTCTCAAAAAAAAAAAAAAGAGACCGGTCATTTGGGTTACCTGGGGGGGAAATTTAAGTGTTTAGCACTTAGAACAGTGTCACAAAACCCTACATTAGTCTTCCAATAAGTGCCCTGTGGTGGAATCAGAGGTGACTAAAAGGGATGGCTTCCAAATGGCCTCATGCATTGAAAGAGCTGTCCCCAAATTTGTTTTCCCAAGGAAAATGTCTATGTAATTGGTGTTAAAATGGACCTTCTCCCCAATTCAGTATGAAGACAATTCATTTTATTCCAGCAGCTACGTCTGCAGCAGGAATTAACTGACTTTCAGGATTTGTTAAGGACCAGAATCTGGGCCGGGCACGACGGCTCACGCCTGTAATCCCAGCACTTTGGGAGGTCACAGCAGGCGGATCATGAGGTCAGGAGTTCGAGACCAGTCTGGATAACGTGGCGAAATTCCATCTCTACTAAAAATACAAAACTTAGCCGGGCGGGGTGGCACATGCCTGTGATCCCAGCTACTCAAGAGGCTGAGGCAGGAGAATCACTTGAACTCGGGAAGCAGAGGTTGCAGTGAGCCAAGATTGTGCCATTGCACTCCAGCCTGAGTGACAGAGTGAGACTCTTGTTTCAAACAAACAAACAACAGAATCTGTGCCCCAGGAGAATTTGTAGAGTTTAAGATATCTACAAAGGAAAGCTCAGCCAGCCATCTAAGTTTCTTCAGGGCAGAATAACTCAAAGTAGAGGGGCCAGGTGACCTCCTGGAGCCTCTCTCTGGTTAGCTTTTTGCTGCTAACTGGGATTAACAGCCTAATGCCTCATGACAGCTTAGCATGGCTGGGTGAGTCCAGCTGGCTCAGAGAGCACCACGGATAAGCCACAAAGCAGTCAGTAGTTGTATTTATGGTTTTGATTCCAAACACTCTTTGTGCTTATCCAAGTGGAGAATTTTTACGTCATTTGTGTGCGTTAAGGCCAAAGGAGAAACCTGGAGGCAAAGGAATGCTGGTTGTGGGTCAAGAAATGTGCTTGATGGATTCTGTATGTTTGGCTTAAAAACACTAAAGTAAAATACCACGACCACTTCTAACCTAGAAATGAGTTCAGCCCGCCAGACAGAAACTGCCATTCAGAGGAAATAAAGCCGTGAGCACCGGTTCCCTCCACACCCCCGAGGTTCACCTGGAGGCCAGTGGGCCAAGCGAGGCCTTGGGAGCAGAGAACTGAAAGAGGGGCGGGGAGAAAAGAATAAACACACCTCGCGGGGCTCGGCTGGCGGCGGCACAGTCCTGGTCCTTTTGACGGAACTGACCAAGACGACAGCAAGCAGAGGCTCAAATGCAGGACTCAGACCCAAGACTTCTCCCCGCTCTCGGGCGGACCCCCAAGGCGGGGAGCCAAAAACCGGGAGACTGAGCAAGCAGCATGCTCACACTCGTAAACTGGCTTCTCGCTCCTCATGCCCCAAACCTGATCAGGCCCCAACCCCGCCTCCCCACAACATAGTGTTCCCTCCGCACGGACGTCGAGGCTCCCCCAGATCCCACGTCTTCGTCCTTCCTGGACCCCGTGCTCCATTCCTTACAGTCACAGACAGGAATCGGTTACCTGCAGAGCAGCTCGACAACCCTGCAGGTAGTCCTCCATGATGAAGCCCAAAGTACGCCGTCGCCCCAGGTCGAGGAGAGGTTCCCCGGCGAATGCACCTAGCCCGGGACTCAGGGGCTAGAGACCAGAGTCAGGAGGCGGGACTCGAACCCGCCATACGGCGAATCGGCCTCCGACCCCGGGAGGAAGTGCGTAAGCGGGCGCTCCTGAGCCCGGCGTCGCCCCGCCCCCAGCGGCGGAGGCGGGGCTCTACGCCCAGAGGCTCCTGGGACGTCTTTCCGGAGAGGCCAAGGGGGCGTGGCGCGGGGCGTTGTGGGAAACGTAGTCTCGCCGCTCCGCAATGGCCATAGCAACCGAGGGAAGGAGAGTTTTCTGAGTGATCAGTCGTTTGACAAACAAATGTCTGTGTCACAGTAACCCGTTGTGGTAGCATCTGAACGTTCCCTCTCAGATCGGGCTAAGTATAACATCTTTCCATGCATCGCACAGAGCATCCGGTTGACATTTTAAAGGACACTTGGCAGAAGAGATATTCGTCTTCTTTCTGGAAACTCTCTCCTTAACCGAACTGACTCAATCGCCGTCAGTTTTGTGGTTGTTCATGTTAGGAGAACATTAGAATAATCTTTGACCTCTCTTGTTTACTTAATACCTGCAGTCTCCTGCCAACTCTTGCTGCTGCTTCCTTTGCCACTCTAGCCTGTTTTTTTATTTTTCTACCGCCTCGTCAGATATCTTCTCCTTCCTTTCTTGGACGGTTGTAACCTTGGCTTTTTGCTCTCTGCCTCCCTAATTGTTCCAACTGCTCTTTCAGCCTTCAGAGTGGCTTGAAGCTTCATCCTGTGGCAGTCCTGTACATAGAGTCTAGGGGACCCTTCAGAATGCAGAATTAGGTTCCAACCTCCCTTAACTGCCACTTTCCAGCCGCAGGGCAGTGCAGGTACTGCAAATAAATGGAAGCTCACCGTCAAATATTCCCTCGTTTATTTATCTATCCCTATCTTTCCTACCATCAACCTCACACCAGCTTTTCCTGCTTCCCCAGCTGTAAATTGAGGGGAGGTGACTGATGAGAGGCTGAGGCCTGCGGTGGAACCAAGATCCAGAGCACAGGGGTGTTGGTTGGGTCTCCTGCCGGTTCTGCGAGTTCTTTCTCTGCTGTGCGCTCTTCCCATAGCCTGGGGCTTCTCCCACACCCTCTGCGCTCTCCCAGGCGCACAACCCAACCAGTTTCATTTCTAGACTTAAAAAAGATCCGGCAAGGACGAAAAGGAGCCCTCTCTGGAGGGCTCCAGAGGGAAAAGAGCTGGGTTTTTGTTTGTTTTTTAACATTACTCATTAACACTGAGTAATATATGCAAATATCGTGCTCCTTGGTCCTGCTTCTGTGGATCTGGAGCAAAGGACTGCCAAACTCAGAGAGAAACCTCAGATCCAACAAGCTGCTTCTGTCCAGCCCTGCTCCTCCCCACTCCGCAAGGGCACTTGCTCTTCCCTGTTCTCACCAGAGAGGCACAAGCGCTCCGTCCCTTCCAGAGGCGGGCGGAGGGAAGAGAAAGGGTCTGTTGTTTTTCTCTCCTGTTTCTCTCTCCCTCTCTGCTGATCACCAAGCTGCTGACCGGGTCAGAAAGCCCTGATGGAAATCCACCAGTGCTGGGCAGGCCCCCTCCTCCTCCAGGGAGCTCGTCCTTGACTAATTTTTCTTCGTCCCGATGAGAAAAAAAAAAAAAAAAAAGAGAGAGAAGAAAAGAAAAACCACAAACTTCCTTTGAAAACCAGCTGGTAGTCAGGGCCTGGAGCGCGTGCCCTAGACCGGGCGACTCAGGAATCCTGAAGACGTTCTGAGCCACCTGGAGCAGCTGGGCTGCGCCCCTGCCTGCCTTCAGCCTCCTCCGGTGCCCCCAGTACTGGGCGTGAGTCCGGAAGCAGCCACAACCCAGCCAGGACCGCCGCTCATAAAGCTGAGTAAACCTGTATAAACTCAGGCGTTGACAGCTGGAAGGCAATTGGCACTGGCAGCCCCCCTCGCTGCACCCACCTCCCCCATCGCCTTGCCACAGCTGAACTCTCCTTCTCAGTCTTGGAACAGCACCCACTTCTTTAAGGTAAAAACTTTATTTTAATCGTCTTCTTCACCTCTTCTCCCACCCTTCTCCTGGGGAGTTGACACCTGCTGTCCTTCCACCTCCGGTCGACAGGTCTGGATTGCTTAGAGAAGCTAAGGCAGGAGAGAGGTGTAAAGCGGATACTGCGTGGTCCTCCTCCTTTTAATGAAATCACGAAACCCTCCCCCCTCTCCTTGTGAGCAAGTAGACAGGGCACTGTGGAGATGGTTGACATATTCTGAGATGAAAATCTAAACTATTGCGGGGCGTGGTGGCTCATGCCTGTAATCCCAGCGTTCTGGGAGGCTGAGACGGGTGGATCATCTGAGGTCAGGAGTTCAAGACTAGCCTGGCCAACGTGATGAAACCCCATCTCTACTAAAAATACAAAAAATTAACTGGGCGTGGTGGTGGGCACCTGTAATCCCAGCTACTTGGGAGGCTGAGGCAGGAGAATCACTTGAACCCTAAAGGCGGAGGTTGCGGTGAGCCGAGATTGTGTCATTGCACTCCAGACTGAGCAATAAGAGCAAAACTCCATCTCAGGAAAAAGAAAGAAAGAAAGAAAGAAAGAAAGAAAACCTAAACAATTGATTGCATGAAGACGTATGTCAGACTGAGAAAGAGATTGGAGGGGGGCAGAAAGGGACTCGTTCCTAGGGAGAGGAGGAACGTCTTCTTGAAGCTACATGCCTGTTTTACATGCTTCTTCCAACTTTCGGCTGACTAGGGAGGAACCAGGGCTATTTTAACTCCCTCATCCACTACTATAATGCCAGCTGGAGAGAAAGTGTAGGACTTGAGGAACTGAGAAAGAGGAGGAAAGGAATAAAACTTTGATTTGCCTCAGTATCCTCTCCCTCATTCTTTCCTACACTGAAATGCTCCATGCTGTCCCCAGCAGCAGTGGACCTTGCAGAGTGGAAATCCTCCATGACAGGCTGGGCGTGGCAGCTCACACCTGTAATCCCAGCACTGTGGGAGGCTGAGGCAGGCAGATCAAGAGATCGAGACCATTCTGGCCAACATGGTGAAACCCCATCTCTACTAAAAATACAAAAATTAGGTGGGCATGGTGGCGCACGCCTGTGGTCCCAGCTACTTGGGAGGCTGAGGCAGGAAAATCGCTTTAATCTGGGAGGGGGAGGTTGGAGTGAGCCGACATCACGCCACTGCACTCTAGCCTGGTGACAGAGCAAGACTCCATCTCAAAAAAAAAAAGAAAAAAGAAAGAAACCCTCCATTACATGTCCTGCTCCTGCCTCTTAAGACTTAGCCCATTTAGCTCTGCCCAGTTCTTCTGAGATCCTACTCCCTTGGGTGTCCACTCCTGGGTTCCTTTGGCTTACCTCTCTAGCCAGCTGGCTGCCCAACCCCCCACTTCATCATTGATCATTTCTGGCCCTGGACAGAAAAGATAAGAAATGCAGCCTGCTCCTGCTTTTCTTCAAGCTTTTTCACTTTCCCAGGCTCTGGCATCTGCTTTGCGGTTCATCCTAAGTGTCATTTAAGGGGAGGAAGAAAGGAGAGAGAGAAGGAGAGAGGAAAAGAAAAGTGTAAGGCCTGCAGGCAATTTTTGCGACTCTGATTCTAAATTAACAACATGTAAATGATATGCAGCTAGCATAAATATATGTGAATCAAGAGGGTAATCAATTTGAGTGACTAGACTTATTTTATTTGAGTAACTTTAATGTTTTCAACCTCACCTCAAATTCCTGTAGGTTTACAAGAAGGAAGCAGTCTCAGGTTAGGAGGAGGGTGGAGAAAAGACAAGATTTCTAACTAGTTTAATTTATTTTATTTTGTGGGTTTTTTTTGAGATGGGGTCTTGCTCTGTCGCCCAGGCTGTAGTGCAGTGTCAAAATCTCAGCTCACTGCAACCTCCACCTCTCGGGTTCAAGCAATTCTTCCACCTCAGCCTCCCAAGCAGCTGGAACTACAGGCCTGTGCCACTGGTGAATTTTTGTATTTTTAGTACACACGGGGTTTCAACATGTTGGCCAGGCTGATCTAGAACTCTTGACCTCAAGCGATCTGCCCTCCTCAGCCTCCCAAAGTGCTGGGATTACAGACATGAGCCACTGTGCCCAGCCCCTAATTAGTTTAATTTCTCCCTGTTTCTCTCCCTGATAAAGAGTGGAAGGGGAGCAAGAAGATTGAAGGGAGATGTTTTCCAAAGGGCAGGATTGTGGTTTTTATTATTTATACCCACAGCATTAGTTAGATGTCTGTCTGTGCTTGCCTCAGTGTGCCTCAAGTGCTGATAGAGAGCAGGTTAAACACGTCTGGTGCTCACATCTAAAATGACCTGTGTGGGAGTAGACAGAAAGCTTCAGGTAGGTGAATGTAGAGGGAGTATTGTTATGTAAATCAATAATCAGCATTTTCATGTTTCATAGAAAAAGTGGGCAAGAGAGTATTCTCTGGGTTTAGGCAATTTCTGGAAAGAAAAACATGAACTGAGGAAAAGTTGCGGTCTCAGCTCTAGCTGTCAAGAGATGCTTATTGCATCTGGGCACTGTGGCTCACACCTATAATCCCAGCACTTCGGGAGGCTGAGGAGGGCGGATTGCTTGAGCCCAGGAGTTGAGACCAGCCTGGGCAACAAAGCGAGACCCTGTCTCAATGTAACTAAAAGAAATTTGACTAGGCCGGGCGCGGTGGCTTAAGCCTGTAATCCCAGCACTTTGGGAGGCCGAGGTGGTTGGATCACGAGGTCAAGAGATCGAGACCATCCTGGTCAACATGGTGAAACCCCGTCTCTATTAAAAATACAAAAAATTAGCTGGGCATGGTGGCGTGTGCCTGTAATCCCAGCTACTCAGGAGGCTGAGGCAGGAGAATCGCTTGAACCCGGGAGGCGGAGGTTGCAGTGAGCTAAGATCACGCCATTGCACTCCAGCCTAGTGAAAGAGCGAGACTCCGTCTTTTTTTTTGGAAATGGAGTCTCACTCTGTTGCCTAGGCTGGAGTGCAGTGGCTGAATCTCAGCTCACTGCAACCTCCATCTCCCGGATTCAAGCGATTCTCCTGCCTCAGCCACCCAAGTAGCTTGGATTACAGGCATGCACCACCATGCTTGGCTAATTTTTTTCTATTTTTACTAGAGACGGGGTTTCACTATATAGGCCAGGCTGGTCTCAAACTCCTGACCTCGTGATCCGCCCACCTCGGCCTGCCAAAGTGCTGAAATAACAGGCTTGAGCCACTGCGCCCGGTTGAGACTCCCTCTTGGAAAAGAGGCTTTCTGGGAGAACTTGTGGGGAGTGCTTTTTGCCTTTTGTGACCCTAATCTGAAGTTACTTGTCAGAACCAGTCTCTGATTCCAGTCCCCACAAGCTACATTTCCCCTCCCAGCTTACAGGAAACCCCACCCCAAGGCCTTTATATTGTGGTTTGGGATTGTGTAAGGTTCAGGAGAGCCCTTGGAGGAGAAAGACTTCCCCTTCCTCACCAGCATTTCACCTTTAGGGGCACGGCACTAACTCCCTGTGCCTCCTCCCTTCTCCACCCCAGCGCTATGTGACTGTTGATCTTTCAAGGTTGGGCGAGACAGAGAAGGTATCCCTAAAAATACAAGCAGCCTGTGTATGCTTAGGATGTTGTGTGAAGGGGCAGGATGTGGGGTAGGGCAGAGGAATATCCCTATCCTGGCTATGAAGGGGTTACTGATGTGATGCCTGTTAGAGTAAGCTAAAGATCGTCATATGAATAACATAACCGTTAGTTAATGTAGATTAACATTTCTTTCTCCATCTCTTTTCCTTCTTTCTCCTTCGTGCTCTCCCTTTCTCGCTGTCTTTTCTCCATTCCCTGTCATGACCTGTTTCAGGGAAGCTCACTCCACCCATGTCTTCAACCCCACCAGTCTTCCCTCCCGAGCCTGGAAGCCCTGTACCCTCCTGGTCTCATCTGGTCACAGCAAGTTAGAGGTGGAAAGAATTCAGCACGGGGCCCTTCTGTTTACCCATATACTGCCCCTAGCCAGCAGTGATGCCCAAACACTAGCCAGCCTTCCACACTACATTCCTTTTTCCAAGACTTTTCTGGGTTAGTTTGCTTTCCACCCCAATGATTTTCTTCTTACTGGACGGGCCCCTCTTTCGCATCCCAAGCCTGGCTTAGGCAAGTCCCTGAAGTCAGAAAACACCTTCAGTGCCCCTCAGCGGACTCCCTTTTGACCATGGAACACCATCAGCCTGAGCATCCAGCCCCCGGTAAGGCCGGGACTGTAGAAGCAGTCATCCCTGAAAACCATGAGGTCCCGGCAGGCCCAGATGAGCCCCCTCAGGACACAGATACAAGAGATGCTGATGGGGAGGCTGGAGAACAGGAGCCAGCAGACCAAGCTTTGCTGCCCGGCCAGTGTGGGGACAACCTTGAGTCCCCTACACCTGAAGCTAGCTCAAGTCCCCTGGGGCCAACCCTTGGGACAGTGCCTGAAGTAGAGACAGTGAGGGCATGCTCCATGCCCCAGGAGCTTCCTCAGTCCTCCAGGACCCGACAGCCGGAGCCAGATTTCTACTGTGTCAAGTGGATCCCTTGGAAAGGAGAGCGGACACCGATCATCACCCAGAGCACTAACGGCCCTTGCCCTCTCCTTGCCATCATGAACATCCTCTTTCTTCAGTGGAAGGTAAGAGAACTGCAGTTAGGGGTGCGGAAGGTATCGGGGAGTATTCTTCCCAGACCTCCTTCCTTGATCATCCTGATGTTCTCAAACTGGTCAAAACTTTTCAGATTATCGTCCCTATTTCTCCAGCTCGAACAAATAAGATCTTCCTAAAAACAAAGGAAGAAAAAGAGGAAGGTCTGTCCTACCCCTATAGCTCCTACTCCCTAGCAAATGCACATGCCTTGCGAGATTTCACATTCATTCCCTTGTGCCAGTGGCAAGCCTTTTTTCCTGCCCCACCCTGCTACTGGAGTTCTCTCTTGCCTTTCTATGGCTTCTTCCTTTAGTGCTTTTTCCCGGAGTGGGGGGAGCACACACGTGATCACCCCTTCTGCCTCCAGGTGAAACTCCCCCCGCAGAAGGAAGTGATCACATCGGATGAGCTCATGGCCCATCTTGGTGAGTGACTGGGCCTTGGAGAGGAATTACCCAAGGGGTTCCAGAGCTATCCACTCAGCCAGAAATCCAGACTGTTCAGGGATCTCTATTTGAGGGTTCTGATACGGCAAGGAGGGTAAGGGTCTATGGGGCTTCTCTGCAGGGCTGGAGAATGAAAAGCAAAGGTGTCAGGAGCCCTGGGTTGTAACACCAATTCTGCCCTTAGCTTTTGTATGTGACTCTGGGCGGGCCCTTCACCTTTAGGAGCCTGTCTCCTCCTTTGAGAAATGAAGAGTCCAGATTAGACTTGAAGTCTTTTCCAGCTCTGAAAATCTGTGTTCTGTGAAATTACCCCCATTCTCAAGGAGAAGAGGAAGCTTAGCTTTTGGGAAATTGGTGGGGTAAGCTGATAAGGGGCCCTGTCTTGTAGGAAACTGCCTCCTGTCCATCAAGCCCCAAGAGAAGTCAGAGGGACTTCAGCTTAATTTTCAGCAGGTGAGACAAAAGGTCTGCAGGCAGAGGGGGCTGCAGGTTTGTCAGGGGACATCTTGAGCTATTAAGAGAAGCCTTTTGTTGCTTCTTCAGAGGTTTCCTTGAACCATAATTTTATTCTGCAGGAGTCAGAGGAGTTTATTTTTGTCCTAGAAAATATGTTCATTGGCCTGGTGCTCACGCCTGAAATCCCAGCACTTTGAGAGGCCAAAGAGGGAGGATCACTTGAGGCCAAGAGTTCAAGGCCAGCGTGGGCAACATAGTAATACCTCTGTCTCTACCAAAAAAAAAAAAAAAAAAAATTATTTTTTTGAAGAATTAGCCCGGTATGGCAGAGCGTGCCTGTAGTCCCAGTTACTCAGAAGGCTGAGGCTGGAGGGTCACTTGAAACCAAGAGTTTGAGGCTGCAGTGAGCCGGGATCACACCACTGCACTCCAGCCTGAATGAAAGGAGACCTTGACGCTAAAAGAAAAACAATGTTCATTTATGTACGACGGAGAAGGGTTGAGGCAAGGGAGAAATGGAATGGCTTGTAAGAGAATCAGGGAAGAAAAGCAACAAGATTAATTTTTAATTTCTGGAGGTGGGAGTGGATGGTGGGAGAGAAGGCTAGAATACCCATCATGTGTTTTCCACCCTCAGAATGTGGACGATGCAATGACGGTGCTGCCTAAACTGGCCACAGGTCTGGATGTTAATGTGCGGTTCACAGGCGTCTCCGATTTTGAGTATACACCCGAGTGCAGTGTCTTTGACCTCCTAGGCATACCTCTGTACCACGGCTGGCTTGTCGATCCTCAGGTGAGGGTGGGAGGGCCCACCAGGACCTTATCCAGCTCAAGCTGACATGAGAGAGGCAAATTTTTGTGGGGTAGAGGTTAAGGAGTTAGGGGTGAGATTGGCTTGGGAGGGAAATAGGGTTTGGAGTCTGGACACAGTACAGAATTCTTTGAATTTTAACCTAGTTTGGGGGTAACATACAAATACAAACTACATGCAAATAGATCAGTTCTTTAAACATCAAAAGTTCAGGACTTGGTGGCACATGCCTGTATTTCCAGCTACCTGGGAGGAGTTCGAGGCTAGCCTGGGCAATGTAGGCAATGCAGAGCAACTCTGTGACGAACGGTTCCAGAATTTAAAAAAAAAAAAATGTTTAGGAACCGGCCGGGCGCGGTGGCTCACGCCTGTAATCCCAGCACTTTGGGAGGCCGAGATGGGTGGATCACGAGGTCAAGAGATCGAGACCATCCTGATTAACATGGTGAAACCCTGTCTCTATTAAATATACAAAAATTAGCTGGGTATGGTGGCGCACGCCTGTAGTCCCAGCTACTGGGGAGGCTGAGGCAGGAGAATTGCTTGAACCCAGGAGGCGGAGGTTGCGGTGAGCCGAGATCGCGCCATTGCACTCCAGCCTGGGTAACAAAGAGTGAAACGCCGTCTCAAAAAAAAAAAAAAAAAAGTTTAGGAACTATTCATCACAGGGCTGCAGTCCTTGTGAGCTTTGTTTCCTTCCTTAAAAAAAAAAAAATCTGAATTTTTTTGGTATTTCCCCATCCCACTCACTACCCAAGCAGAGTCCTGAGGCTGTGCGTGCAGTTGGGAAGCTGAGTTACAACCAGCTGGTGGAGAAGATCATCACCTGCAAACACTCCAGTGACACCAACCTCGTGACAGAAGGTGACATTCCTCCCCTTTCATGGATATTATGTGGCGTAAGGGAATGACGGCTCCTTCCGCTTAGTTTTTATTGTGTGTCGTCTCCCACCACATCCCACTAGAAGTAAGTTTCACAAGAAGGAGCCTGGGGAATTTCTGTTTCGTTCACTGAGGTATCCCCAGTGCCTGGCACGAGGCAGCTGCTCTTTGAGTATTTGCTAAGTGAATGAATACAGCCAGGTTTCAAGAAGGGAACGGCAGAAGGTGGGACTGACCCCCGGGGCTTTTGACGGGGGTTCGCTGGATGGTCCTTCCTGTTGGGGACCTTGAATTTAAGCCGTTTCCCCTGACTTGTGCCGTTGTGACAGGCCTGATTGCGGAGCAGTTCCTGGAGACCACGGCGGCCCAGCTGACCTACCACGGGCTGTGCGAGCTGACCGCAGCTGCTAAGGAGGGAGAACTTAGCGTCTTTTTCCGAAACAACCACTTTAGCACCATGACTAAACACAAGGTAATGAGGGTCTGGGGGCGACGGGCTGTGGTGCCTTCATTTCCTCGTGCCTTTTTCTCATGGGTCCAGTCGGGATCAGCTAGATTAAGCCGCGGTAGCAAACGACCCCTGAAATCCCTGTGGTTTGGTTTCCCGCGGCAAAGGTTAATTTCCCACGCCCGCTGCATGTCCACTGCGGATTGGCTGCGGTTCTGTCCCACACCACCTTTACTCTGCGGCCCAGCTGACAAAGGATCCTTTATCTGGAATATATGCGGGGATCGGGGCGGGGGGCACTGTGCACTCGTGCTTAGAGCTGCTGCTTCTTCCTTTTTTTTTTTTTAAAAGCCTACGGCACCCCGTATTCCCAGGCGGTCTCCCATCCAAGTCCTAACCAGGCCCGACCCTGCTTTGCTTCCGAGATCAGATGAGATCGGGCGCGTTCAGGGTGGTATGGCCGTAGACCTTGGAGCTTCAGTTTGGAAATGACACGTATCATTTCTGCTCACATCTACTGGCCAGAGCAAGACGTAGGGATAAGCCTGCTATCAACAGGACAGGAAAATACAATCCTCTCCTAGGAAGGGGCAGTTGAATTTTTGAACGATGCTGGTCTTCAAAAGTTAGAAACTGCCGGACTGGGCACGGTGGCTCACGCCGGTAATCCCAGCACCTTGGGAGGCTGAGGTGGATGGTTCACGAGGTCAGGAGTTCGAGACTAGCCTGATCAACAGGGTAAAACCCCGTCTGTACTAAAAATACAAAAATTAGCTGGGCATGGTGGTGCGCACCTGTAGTCCCAGCTACTCGGGAGGCTGAGGCAGGAGAGTCGCTTGGACCCAGGAGGCGGGGGTTGCAGTGAGCCTCTCGGCTCACACCACTGCACTGCACTCCAGCCTGGGCAACAGGGCAAGACTCCGTGTCCCTCCCCCACCAAAAAAAGTTAGAAACTGCCAAAGCTCTCTAGGATTTGAGCAGAAGCGGGAGGGGTCTCTGGTTCTCAAAGGCTTTATCCTCAGAGCCATCAGGGAAGCCCAGGGAACAGTGGGAGATGAGGGGAGCAGGGTCTTGTGTGGCATCTCAGCCCCGACGGCTCCACGCTTGACCTAAATGACCACCGTGCTCACACCCAGCTGAACATATGCTCAGATGTCCCTTTCTTCCACATGCTTATACCGGCATCTCCCACCTCGCACACCAGCCTATTCAAATGGTGTCCAGTTGTGCATCTCAGAAGATTTCTGGCAGTGAACTGCCTCTGTATCATCTAGCCTGCAATGAGCTCTGTTCTTTTCTTTGTAGAGTCACTTGTACCTGCTGGTCACTGACCAGGGCTTTCTACAGGAGGAGCAAGTCGTATGGGAGAGCCTGCACAATGTAGATGGAGACAGCTGCTTCTGTGACTCCGACTTCCACCTGAGTCATTCCCTGGGCAAGGGGCCTGGAGCAGAAGGTGGGAGTGGCTCCCCAGAAAAGCAGCTGCAGGTAGACCAGGTGTGTAGGGCCCTTAGGAAAAGTGCGGAGAGCACATGTGCCTCGGAGAGCTTTTGCGACACGCATTTTAACGCTAGAGGCCCCTCGAACCCATGCCGCTTCACTCTCTGGGTCACCTCAGGCCGGCTCCTCACTTGGTGTGTATTCTCTGGCACCACAGATAATGCACTTGGCTGTGTGTGCTGCTCTGGAGGGAGAAAGAGCTAGAGAATTTGAGGGATGCAGAAAAACTGATTTGGAAACCTCACCTGAATAGCCTTGGGCTTCAGCCTACCTGCAACTCTTATTCTTCCCAGGACTACCTGATTGCTCTGTCCCTGCAGCAGCAGCAGCAGCCACAAGGCGCACTGGGACTGACTGACTTGGAGCTGGCCCAGCAGCTTCAGCAGGAGGAGTATCAGCAGCAGCAGGCAGCCCAGCCAGTGTGGACGCGGACGCGGGCCCTGTCACTGCAGGTGGGCTGCTGCTCCGGCTCCTACACTCCCGGTTTCCACCTTGTGCTTTGCTGGGTCCGGAACACCTGTTATTCCCACACTGGTCTCTTCAAGGTTTCTTTTCGCAGGGCCCTTCTCCTGCCTGTCTCTCTCCCCTGGCGCCCCTTCCTGTCTTCCTCTCCCTACTCCCTGTCCCTATCCTGACACCTGCTCCTTCTAGAATCTCTTCTTGTGCTCTTCCGAGGCAGTTCAATGACCAGTTGTTAAATCCAATACAGGGGAGAGGAGCCACATCTGGACGCCCAGCTGGGGAGCGTCGGCAGAGGCCGAAGCACGAGCCAGACTGCATTCTGCTTTAGGTCTGCCCCTTCTTCCAGAGGCTATGGCTAGTTGGCTTGTTCCCCCGCCTCTACCCTTGAGATGTGCAGGATAACTTATTTATGGACTGTTGGGGATCAGAGCAGGCGACAAAGGCGAAGGTCAGACTTGGTAATGTCCCTGACCTCATGTGCTGCGGCCTTCTCTGAATCCCACCTAGGGCTACACTGGGACTGATGGGATTCTGGTTCTCAATGCCCGGTCCCTGAATAGTCACACATACATACAGACTGAGGCTCTGGGGAGGTCTCTATTTGGAATGCATCTCTCCTGCGTCCCATCCCTGCTGCCTGGATGCTCCTGGCCACCCAGCCAGGCCTGTCTCCAGTTGTTTCAAGACTTAATTTGGGTTTCTATCTCTGTTATTTGTAATGCCTTCCTGGGGATTGGAAATAAAATTTCTGGCCAGGTGCAGTGGCTCATGCCTGTAATCCCAGCACTTTTGGAGGTCAAGGTGGGCGGATCACCTGAGGTCAGGAGTTAGAGGGCAGCCTGCCCAACATGGCGAAACCCCATTTCTACTAAAACTACAAAAAATTATTTGGGCGTGGTGGCAGGCACCTGTAATCCCAGCTATTTGGGAGGCTGAAACAGAAGACTCACTTGAATCCTAACGGCAGAGGTTGCAGTGAGCCAAGATTGCACCACTACACTCCAGCCTGGGCAACAAGAGTGAAACTCCGTCTCAAAACAAAACAGCGGCTGGGCGTGGTAGCTCACGCCTGTAATCTCAGCATTTTGGGAGGCCGAGGCAGGTGGATTACCTGAGGTCAGGAGTTCAAGACCAGCCTGGCCAACATGGTGAAACCCTGTCTTTATTTAAAAAAAAAAAAAAAAAAAAAAAAAAAAAAAAGCAACAAACCAACAAACAAAAAAACCTTATTTCCTGAGATCTGTTGTTTGCCTTACGCTGAAGCAATGGGGTTAAGTATTTGACCCAATTGAAGAATGCAAAAAGTGGGCGTTTAATCAGGGGGGAAGGTGGTTATCTGTCATTTCTTTCTTTCTTTTCTTTTTTTTTTTTTCAAGAGGGAGTCTCACTCTGTTGCCCAGGCTGGAGTGCAGTGGTGTAATCTTAGCTCACTGCAACCTCCATCTCCTGGGTTCAAGTGATCCTCCTCCCTCAGCCTCCTAAAGTAGCTGGGACCAAAGGCATGCGCCACTGCACCCAGCTAATTTTTGTGTTTTTAGTAGAGATGGGTTTTTGCCATGTTGGTCAGGCTGGTCTCAAACTCCTGACCTCAGGTGACCTGCCCGCCTTGGCCTCCCTAATCGCTGGGATTACAGGTGTGAGCCACTGTGCCTGGCTACCTGTCATTTCTAATTTAGCCAGCAGGGGGAACCAAAGCCTGTTTTTGTGTTTGTTTCTGTCTTTGATAAGTCTTTTATGGGAAATAGTGCTCTCGTGGGAGGTGCGTTTCCAACTCTTTGCTTGGACACATGAATTTGAGGGTTGTGCTTTCTGCTAACCCAAGAGTTCCCAGGCTGGCGAGGGTAGCTTGACCCTCCGCTTGCTTCCCAGTTCATACAGATGGTTGCTCCCTCTGACCATTTCTCATCTTGTTCTGGCGCCTGTTTCTCAATTGTTTTGCCTGAAATTTCCTGGAGAATGAGGGTGAGGGGAGACATGGACAGGGTGGGCGTTGATTCCTGCAGCACTAGGGCAAAACAGGATTCCTGCTGAATAGCCAAGTGCACATCAAAGGCACCTCAACTCCAAGGCCTCTTCCTGGCCCATGTCCTGCTCCACCCAAACTTCGATCAGAGAACCCAAACAACAGTGAAGTTTGCCAAAAGAATTCAAGTATCAGCGAGATGTTCTGGCCAGGGTACAGGAGGGATGAGTGAGGCAGAAACGATCAGAACTCATTTCCCCACACCCGAGAAGGAGCTGGATGACCCAGGTACGGATATAATTTTGAGATGAGGAAAATTAAGGGATTTTAAAGAAACCGTTCCAGCCTCAACAAGAAGCTGGAGCATGTGGTGCTCAGTGAGGGGTTATCCTATTTGGAGGCCCAGCAGGTCTCCTGCAGGTTCAGCCAAACGCGGAACTCTCAGATCCTCGCATGTCATGTGGGGTGGGGGCAGGGAAGTCTCACATGTCTTCAGCCCTGCACAAGGCCAGAAAGGCTGACCGGCAATCCCCTTTCACTGCATCCTGCAGACAAGGGAATTCAGTATTAGAAAGATCCACCCACACTATGGCCCAAGTACTCTCTCCCCTTCTTTAGGCTGGTCCCTCACAGTTCATCTGGAAGGGAAGGGTCCTCCCTGGAGCTCAGAGTCCTGCACTACATTAACCAAAGACTCCTGGGTTTCTCCTGGCCAAACTATGCTCAGCTGTGTGCAGGGAGTGAGGGTGGAGGTGAGGAGTGATGGCCCTGGGGCTCCAGGCTAAGAAGTAGCCAAGTTTCACCTGGAGAGAAGAGTAAAGGGACTTCCCAAATTTCTTCTTGAACTCAGCTCTGATACTCAGAAGGTCGGTCTCACATCGAGAGGTAAGGATGCGAATCAGGACTTGGTCATTGGGCTCGGTTTCCTAGCAGGGGGAAGAAACAGATGGTGGGTAATTAGTGAGAGTCTCACTGAGAGAAGGGATTGAATGGCATGGAGGGTTCCTGTAGGGAGGGGGGCAAGGGCTAGGAGTATACGTTATACAGTATCTTGGACAAAAGTTATCTTCGTCCATCCTCGTGAAAGATGACACAGCAGGAAAGATCAGTCTCTGTGCAGGCAGCTTGAGTATTTATTTCTCTCCTTCCTTCCACATGTTTTTCCTGGCCCTGCCATTAGCTTAGAGCTGTGCACCTCCACAATTTGGTGGTGAGCAGCTCCAAAGACAGGTACACCAGGAAGGCTGGAAGAGACTTGGTGCGTATTATAAGACTGCCAGCAGGAAAACCAGGAACACTGTTTTAAACTTTCAAGTTAGTGAATATCCAAGGAGGATAAACCCGAGCTGCCGGGGCTCGGATAAGGATCAGGCGGTGTGACTTCTGGTTCTGATTCTGACCCAATAGGGCCATCTCTCGGGCTTGTCTCTGCCTGTCAGCTTCTCCATGCTGAACCCTTAGTGTTCAACGTTGCTCTTTTACCCCTGTACATGCAGCAGGCCTCCTGCTTTTTAGCTAAATAATGAAAGGTTCAGTTTAAAAATAACAGGCCGGGCGTGGTGGCTCACACCTGTAATCCCAGCACTTTGGGAGGTCGAGGCGGGCAGATCACGAGGTCAGGAGATCAAGACCATTCTTGATAACATGGTGAAACCCCGTCTCTACTAAACATACAAAAAATTAGCTGGGCGCGGTGGTGCACACCTGTAGTCCCGGCTACTTGGCAGGCTGAAGCAGGAGAATAGGTTGAACCTGGGAGGCAGAAGTTGTAGTGAGCCAAGATTGCACCATTGCACTCCAACCTGGGCAATAAGAGCAAAACTCTGTCCCCCACCACCTCCCCCCCAAAAAACAGGAAGAAAAAGAAAAGAAATAACAGGCCAAGTGTGGTGGCTCACGCCTGTAATCCGAGCAATTTGGGAGGCTGAGGTCAGGAGTTCAAGACCAGCCTGGCCAACATGGTGAAATCCCATCTCTACTGAAAATATAAAAATTAGCCAGGTGTGGTGGGGGGCATCTGTAATCCCAGCTACTCAGGAGGCTGAAGCAGGAGAATTGCTTGAATCCGGGAGGCGGAGCTTGCAGTGAGCTGAGATCACACCATTGCACTCCAGCCTGGGTGACAGAACAAGACTCTGTCTCAAAAAATAAATTAATTAATAAAATAACAGAGGTACAAGTTATCAAAATCCTGAATTATAATGGATTATACTAAATAATGTGTTGTTATGAAAGAGTTCTAATAAAAACTTTTAAGTGTAAAATTGCTGTTTTTTTTTTTTTTTCTGTGCACCAGTGTTGGCCACCAATTAATTTCCAATACCCTCATTTTCAGTTTCCTGAGTCACTCTGCTCACAAGACTCTTCGCAGAAATGCCTATAACACACACTTAGGTATCCCCACAGACCATAAACTCCTTTGACAAACAAAAGAAAATGAAGTAAAACAGGATGCTCCAATTCATTTGGACTCATTACCTGAGTGCCAGTGGGCCCAATGTCTACTAACTCCCAAGCACCTTTAGTTTTGTATTGTTGTAAAATTGCCAGTTGCTCCCCAGTGTCCATTCTTCTAACTCTTGTTACTCTAAATTATAGAACTGAGGCAAGAGTCACTCATTAACTGAATACTCTCGTTGTACAAGTACGCTTTTTCTCCCTCTGTCTCCCAGGTGGGAGTGCAGTGGTACGATCTCGGCTCACTGCAACCTCCACCTCCCGGGTTCGGGTGAGTCTCCTGCCTCAGCCTCCTGAGTAGCTGGGATGACAGGCGCCCGCCACCACACCCAGCTAGTTTTTGTATTTTTAGTAGAGATGGGGTTTCACTATGTTGCCCAAGCTGGTCTCAAACTCCTGACCTCATGCAAGCCACCCACCTGGGCCTCCCAAAGTGCTGAAATTACAAGCATGAGCCACCGAGGCCGGCCACAAGTACTCTTTACACCAAAGCTGTATTAAATATAATAATTTTTTTTTTCTTTTTCTTTTTCTCCCTCTGTCACCCAGGCTGGAGTGCAGTGACGTGATCTCAGCTCACTGTAAACTTTACCTCCCGAGTTCAAGCGATTCTCCTGCCTCAGCCTCCTGAGTAGCTGGGACTACAGTGTGTACCACACACCCAGCTAATATTTTCATTTTTAGTACAGACAGGGTTTCCCCATGTTGGCCAGGCTGGTCTCAAACTGCTGACCTCAAGTGATCCACCTGCTTCAGCCTCCCAATGTGCTGGGATTACAGGACTGAGCTACTGTGCCTGGCCTTAAATATATATATATATATGTATATGTATATGTATATTTTATTTATTTTGAGATGGAGTCTTGCTCTGTCACCCAGGCTGGAGTGCAGTGGCGCGATCTCAGGTCACTGCAATCTCCACCTTGTAGGTTCAAGCAATTCTCTGTCTCAGCCTCTCGAGTAGTTGGGACTACAAGTGCACACCACCGTGCCTGGCTAATTATTGCATATTTATAGAGATGGGTTTTCACCATGTTGGTCAGGCTGGTCTTGAACTCCTGACCTCAGGTGATTCACCTGCCTCGGCCTCCCAAAGTGCTGGGATTACAGGTGTGAGCCACGGTGCCTGGCCTAATTATAATTACAATACTTAATCATATACTTGGCATTGCATATGGCCCCAGGATCTTCCCTAGGAGCATTCATTTTTACTGGAGATTGGTCCAAATTTGTCCTGAATCAGCCATTGCTGATTTTCTGAAGGTCGTTTTTCTGAATAAATATTCTTCACGATCTGTTTTCATATATCTACATATCCCTCATAAAATAATACAAAAAAAAAATACAGGCCAGGTACGGTGGCTCACACCTGTAAACCCAGCACTTTGGAATGCCAAGGCAGGTGGATCACCTGAGGTCAGGAGTTCAAGACTAGCCTGGCCAACATGATGAAACCCTGTCTCTACTAAAAATACAAAAATTGGCAGGACATGGTGGCAGGGGCCTGTAATCTCAGCTACTCAGGAGGCTGCGGCAGGAGAACCCGGGAGGCAGAGGTTGTAGTGAGCTGAGATTGTGCCATTGTAGTGCAGCCTGGGTAACAACAGCAAGACTCCGTCTCAAAAAGAAAAAAAAGAAAGGAAAAAAGAAGAAAGAAGTAGAATATGATTCAGGGCCGGGCACAGTGGCTCATGCCTGTAATCCCAGCACTTTGGGAGGCTGACATGGGCGGATCGCAACATCAGGAGTTCGAGACCAGCCTGGTCAATATGGTGAAACCCTGTCTTTACTAAAAAATACAAAAATTGCCCGGGCGCAGTGGCTCACGCCTGTAATCCCAGCACTTTGGGAGGCCGAGGCGGGTGAATCACGAGGTCAAGAGATCGAGACCATCCTGGTCAACATGGTGAAACCCCGTCTCTACTAAAAATACAAAAAATTAGCTGGGCATGGTGGTGCGTGCCTGTAATCCCAGTTACTCAGGAGGCTGAGGCAGGAGAATTGCCTGAACCCAGGAGGCGGAGGTTGCGGTGAGCCGAGATCGCGCCATTGCACTCCAGCCTGGGTAACAAGAGCGAAACTCTGTCTCAAACAAACAAACAAACAAACAAACAAACAAAAAAAAACAAAAATTAGTCAGGTGTGGTGGCGCATACCTGTAGTCCCTGCTACTTGGGAGGCTGAGGCAAGAGAATTGCTGGAACCTGGGAGGTGGAGTTGCAGAGAGTCAAGATCGGGCCACTGCACTCCAGTCTGGGCAACAGTGCGAAACTCCGTCTCAAAAAAATAAAAGAAAAAAATAAAAGATTCAGAATAATTGATGTATGTTATTTTCTGACTACTATTTCTTCCTTTTCTTCTTCTTTTGAGACAGTGTCTTGCTCTATCACCCAGGCTGAAGTGCAGTGGAATAATCATAGCTCAATGTAACTTTGAATTCCTGGGTTCAAGCAATCCTCCTACTACAACCTCCCAAGTAGTTGGTAGTAGAGGCACGTTCCACCATACCTGGCCAATTTTCTTTTTCTTTTTGTAGAGACGTGGTCTTGCTATGTCTCCTAGGCTGGTCTTGAACTCCTGACCTCAAGCGATCCTCCCACCTTGGCCTCCCTAAGTGCTGGGATTACAGGCAGGAGCCACCATGGTTGGCCCCTGACTACTACTTCTAAGATAAATCTCTCATCTTAACTCAACAGTGTGGGTCTTGGCTGGTTGTGGTGGCTCATGCCTGTAATCCCAGCCCTTTGGGAGGCCAAAGCAGGTGGATCATGAGGTCAGGAGTTCGAGACCAGCCAATATGATGAAACTCTGTCTCTAAAAAAATACAAAAATTAGCCGGGCGAGGTGGCACGTGCCTGTAATCCCAGCTACTTGGGATGCTGAGGCAAGAGAATCACTTGAATCTGGGAGGTGGAGGTTGCAGTGAGCTGAAATCACGACATTACACTCCAGCCTAGGCGACAGAGTGAGACTCCACCTCAAAAAAAAAAAAAAAAAGCCTGGCAGAGGGGCTCACGGTTGTAATCCCAGCACTTTGGGAGGCTGAGGCGGGTGGATCACCTGGGGTCAGGAGTTCAAGACCAGCCTGACCAACACAGTGAAACTCCATCTCTACTAAAAATACAAAATTAGGCACGTTGGTGCATGCCTGTAATCCCAGCTACGCGGGAGGCTGAGGCAGAAGAATTGCTTGAACCTGGGAGGCAGAGGTTGCAGTGAGCTGAGATCATGTCATTGCACTCTAGTCTGGGCAACAAGAGTGAAACTCCACCTCAAAACAAAAGGAAAAAAAAAAAAAGTGTGGGTCTTGTAATCCAAATACACTACAAAATTATCTACTGCTGGGATAGTTTGTATTTATGACAGGAATTTAGACAGATAACTACAACTCTTCAAATGAATCAGTGTTGACTCATTACAATAACACAGGCTTTATTGGGCAATTATAATAATCTACCGTCAAGATAGAAATCTCTGGATGACAGAACAACTGCTTATATTCACTATCTTTTGGGCAACCATCGACATAGCACGACGGCTTCTCAACCAGTCTACAGAAAGCTATTCCAGCTGCCAAAATGATAACTACCTTTGTCTCCTCAAATTGTACATTTTCTCTGAGTGAACTTTTTATTTATTAAATTAATTAATTCATGGATCTATTTTGAGACAGAGTTTTGCTCTTGTTGCCCAGGCTGGAGTGCAATGGCACAATCTCGGCTCGCTGCAACCTCTGCTTCCTGGGTTCAAGTGATTCTCCTGCCTCAACCTCCTGAGTAGCTGGGATTACAGGCATGTGCTACCACGCCCAGCTAATTTTTGTATTTTTAGTACAGATAGGGTTTTACCATATTGGCCAGGCTGGTCTCGAACTCCTGACCTCAAGTGATCCATTCACCTCAGCCTCCCAAAGTGCTGTGATTTCAGACCTGAGCCGCCATGCCCCACCTGAACTTTTTATTTATAGGTTTTGAGGGACAGTTCTACTAACAGAAGACCTAATTCAATCAACAGAGACTGGATTCTCTTGGTGGAACTATTCAAGCCATGGTCGCCAATTTAAGTATGGATAATATGGGGTGATCACGGTGGCTCACGCCTGCAATCCCAGCACTTTGGGAGGCCGAGGCAGGTGGATCACCTGAGGTCAGGAGTTCAAGACCACGCTGACCAACATGGTGAAACCCTGTCTCTACTAAAAGTTAAAAAAATTAGCTGAGCACCACCCATTACAGGTGGGTGCCTGTAATCCCAGCTGCTTGGGAGGTGGAGGCAGGAGAATCGCTTGAACCCAGGAGGTGGAGGTTGCTGTGAGCTGAGCTTGTCCCACTGCAGTCCAGCCTGGGTGACAAGAGCAAAACTCTGTCTCAAAAAAAAAAAAAAAGATGGATAATGTGGAACAAAAAGCTGACCAGTGTGGAGAAAGGGGGCCTTGGGTGCTAAGAGCACTCATGGTATAGGCCACAAGGAGTGGACACAGGACTGTAAATGTCTTATATCATTAAGTGTTGTGTAGGGAGACCGTATGACTTACTAGCTGTGTGACCTCAAGCAAGGTACTTAACTTCTTCGTGCTTCAGTTTTTCCATCTATAAGATAAGGACGGATGCAGTTGTGAGGATTAACAAATGTGTGTGCCATGCTCAGGACAGGCCGTACACAATCAGCAGCTACGAAATGCCAGCCTTTGTCATTATTCTTGCTAGTGTGATCACCATCGCTCTGGCGACAACTGAACCTGGACAAGGCAGCGTCTCACAGAGCAGATTCATATCTCGATTTGGCCACCTAGACATTAACAAGGCCAAAATGTTAGTCTCAGGGCCGCTGAGAGTCAGCTAAGTTAGTTCTCACCACAGCTCATTCCTCCACCCCTGTGTAAGCCATAGTGCATAAGCCCTGGGAGGGAGAGGTTCAGACAGTGTATATGGGATGGTTACATTAGCAGCAACCTGAGGCTCCTCTCTCCTCCCCAGTTTCTGTTCTGGGGAGGGAAAGGAGTGCCCCTCTTACCTGGAGGGCTTGGTGAAGTTTGTCAGCAAAGTACAGCGGTGTGTTCTTGATCACCGAAGCTGGAAGCAAAGATGGGAAGGATGGAGGCTCACGACTAGGGCCACGATCTCCCATCCCAAGAGAGACTCACTCCACAAATCCTGCACAGTCCCCTACCTAGGCCGAGCAGAGCCGCCTGGGCATCTCCATGGAAACGGTTCTGGACAGCCTCCTCCAGCTCTTGCCCAGTGCTCCGCTGGTACTGATCAAACACTTGCGGTGTGTGTGGGAGGCAGTTAGAAAGATGAATGGGGGATTCATTGTAACAGGAAAGGGTGGCCCCTCCCCACCTTCCTCAGCCCAGACTCATCATTAGAGCAAGCTAGGGGACAAGACAAGATGGCTTGTGTGTACCTCGGATGAGGTGTTCAGGATTTCGTTGGGTAAAGAGTAGCACCCATGTCTTCTCTGTGCTGGGTCCTTCTGCCTGCTGCAGTGCCTGGGAGGGAGAACTGAGTCAGGATCACTGGTGGGGGCCTAGGGAGCCACGGGTGTGATGTTCCCAGAATCTATCACCATCATGATGGAAATGGGATTGAGGGTGGAAAATATTTGTCTTTTTTTTTTTTTTCTGAGACAGAATCTCATTCTGTCACCCAGGCTGGAGTGCAATGGCATGATCCCAGCTCACCACAACCTCCTCCTCCCAGGTTCAAGTGATTCTCCAGCCTCAGCCTCCGGAGTAGCTGGGATTATAGGCACTCACCATCATGCCTGGCTAATTTTTGTATTTTTAGTAGAGATAGGGTTTCGCCCTCTTGGCCAGGCTGGTTTCAAACTCCTGACCTCAAGTGATCCACCTGCCTCGACCTCCTAAATTACAGGTGTGAGCCACCACACCCAGCTGGAAAAGGTTATTTTGACCTGTAAACTAGGGGTGTGTGTGTGTGTGACAGAGAGAGAGTGAGATGGGGTCTCTGTCGCCCAGGCTGGAGTGCCGTGGCATGATCAGGACTCACCTCAGCCTCAATTTCCCAAGTTCAAGTGATCCTCCCACCTCATCCTCAGCCTCCTAGCTAGCTGGAACTACAGGTGCAGCTAATTTGAAAAAACACTTTCTAGAAACAGAGTCTCACTATGTTGCCTAGGCTGGTCTCTGACTCCTGGGCTCAAGTGACCCTCCTGTTTCAGCCTCCCAAAGTTCTGGGATTACAGGCATGAGTCACCATGCCTGGCCTACTAGTTGTTTTTATTTATGTGATGTCATTTTCTTTATTTTACTTTTTAAGAAAGAAATAAAGCGAAGGGAGGGGCTCTGCCCTTCCAGCCTCACAGCTCTAATCACTGATTTGGAAATATCCTGGTACCCAAGGTTAAATAATCCCCAAAAGGGTCTGAGGAAGCTTTCTGCCCCCAAATGCTCATGAGAGGAGAATCTGTCGGTCGTGAGCTCAGGAGTCAGAGGCTAGGTGGGAGAAAAAGTTTCAGCTATGATGATACCTGACACCTCAGCCCCCCATCACATCACTAAGAACTCCCTCTCCCAGGCAGGTATTTGCCTCTCCCAGGCAGGGTTTGCAGGACAAATGGGCATGTAGGTCACTGGCTCTAAGATACGGTGGAGGAAGGCAATTTACATGCATGGCGGCTGTGCACTCCTAAACCCCCTGCTCACCTGGACATCTTGTTCTGCCAGATTATAGTCAATGATTCCAGAGTAGCTGTCACGGCCCCCCTAGGAGGAGAAACTGTTCTTAGAAGGCTCTTGGAAGGGCATCTTTTTATCTCCAGAACAACAAGCAAAGCCTGGTCTCTCCCAAAGTCTCCTCTTGTCCATTACAGGACAGCAACGCTCCCTGCTCCGGCGCGTCTCTTTGGCTACTGAATGTGACTCCCTTCCTTGCAGGCCAGTCCTCCTCACCTTGGCCAGGGCCAGGAGCAGGTCCCGCAAGATGCCACTGCTCTCAGATGTGATGTCATCCACGGCCTCCACCTGGAAATCTGGGGTGGGGTAAGGAGCGCTCTGAGTCCTCCTGAGTTTTCCTAGCGTAGATATTCCCAGGACCTGCCGAACGCCTGACCCACTATGCACCCCCAGCCCTGCTAGGCCCGGCCTGGAGTAGCTTCACGGCTGCTACTTCCCAGGATGTAAGGCGCAAGTAACATCACAGCCACCTGAAAACGTCTCTGAGCTGTAAGGTGTGTGGTGGCTTCATCCCCAACCTGCTGGGCAGGAGGCAACCATTATTAGAGGTGGGGCCAGGCAGTGAAGAAGGGCTAGGGAAACCTGTATTATAACACAAGATGGCTAGGACCCGGCATCCCCGTTGGAGGTAAGGAAAAATGATATGAGGCCGGGTGCAGTGGCTCACACCTTTAATACCAGCACTTTGGGAGACTGCTGTGGGTGGTCACCTGAGGAGTTCAAGACCAGCCTGGCCAACGTGGCAAAACCTTGTGTCTTCTAAAAATACAAAAGTTAGCCGGGGGTGGTGGCAGGCAGCTACTTGGGAGGCTGAGGCAGGAGAATCACTTGAACCCAGGAGGCAGAGTTTGCAGCGAGCCAAGATTGTACCATTGTACTACAGTCTAGGTGACAAGAGTGAAACTAGGTCTCAAAAAAAAAAAAAAAGAAAAAGAGGGCTGGGCGCGGTGGCTCAAGCCTGTAATCCCAGCACTTTGGGAGGCCGAGGCGGGTGGATCACGAGGTTGAGAGATCGAGACCGTCCTGGTCAACATGGTGAAACCCCGTCTCTACTAAAAATACAAAAAACTAGCTGGGCGTGGTGGCGCGTGCCTGTAATCCCAGCTACTCAGGAGGCTGAGGCAGGAGAATTGCCTGAGCCCAGGAGGCGGAGGTTGCGGTGAGCCGAGATCGCGCCATTGCACTCCAGCCTGGGTAACAAGAGCGAAACTCCGTCTCAAAAAAAAAAAAGAAAAAGAAAAAGAAAAAGGAGGGGAAAAGAGCAGGAAAGGGAGAAAAGGAAGTAGAAGAGAGAAACAGATGCAAGAAGGAAGGAGGGTAGGAGAGGGATTAAGAACACAGGCCACAGCTGGGGTGGCGGCTCGTGCCTGTGATCCCAGCACTTTGCAACACCGAGGAAGGAGGATGGCTTGAGCCCAGAAGTTTGAGACCAGCCTGGACAACACAGCAAAACCCATCTCTACAAAAAATACAAGAATAGCTGGGCATGGTGGTGGCACACCTGTGGTCGCAGCTGCTTCGGAGGCTGAGGTGGGAGGATTGAGCCCAGGAGGGTCAGAGCTACAGGGAGCCACAATCACATCACTCACAGTCTGGGCTACAGGGCAAGATGTTGTCTCAAAAGAAGAATGTAGGCCAAGATTACACATCAGAGGAAAATTAGAAAGCAAGACAACGTGGTGAGGGTGGGGAAGGGGTGGTGAGATGAGGATGGGAAGAAGCCACAAATTAGTGGGGGAGACACTTGCAGCCAAGCAAGGACAGCCATCAGGGGCACGAGAGGTGACACCCATGACTCAGAGGGCAGGTTCCCATCTTTCCCCCAGGCTGCGGCAAGGCTGGGCTCAGCTTGGAATGTGGTGTGATGACAGGGACGGCAAGGGGCTGGGAAGGTGACATGAATACCTTTGGGACTATCACTTTGGAATCTGCCTTGGAGGGAGCTCCAGATTAAGATGGTTAATCATTGCTTCTCTCTTTTTATATGTGTGTGTGTGTGTGTGTGTGTGTGTGTGTGAGAGAGAGAGAGAGAGAGAGAGAGACAGAGACAGAGAGAGAGAGAGAGAGAGAGACATACTCTCACTCCTGTCACCCATGCTATTGCAATGGCAATAGCATGATCTCAGCTCACCATGGCCTCAACTTCCCAAGCTCAGTTCAGGTGATCCTCCCACCTCAACCTCCTGAGTAGCTGGGACCACAGGCATGCACCACCATGCCCAGCTGTTTTTTTTTGTTTTTTTTTTTTAGCACTAATGGGGTTTTTCTATGTTGCCCAGGCTGGTCTTGAACCCCTGGGTTCAAGCAACCCGCCTACCTCAGTCTCCCAAAGTGTTTGGATTACAGGCATGAGCCACTGTGCCTGGCCTGCTTGGTTTTTGTTTTTGTTTTCGTTTTTTTTTGAGATAGAGTTTCACTCTTGTTGCCCAGGCTGGAGGACAATGGCATGATCTCAGCTCACCGCAACTGCCCGTCTGTCTGCCATCCTAATGACATGGCCGGTCTCAGAGTAGACTCCCAATTTCCTGTCTCCTGGGTTCAAGTGATTCTCCTTCCCCAGCCTCCCAAGTAGCTGGGATTACAGGCATGTGCCATCACACCTGGCTAATTTTTTGTATTTTTAGTAAAGACGGGGTTTCTCCGTGTTGGTCAGGCTGGTGTCGAACTCCCGACCTTAGGTGATCTGCCCACGTTGGCCTCCCAAAGTGCTGGGATTACAGGTGTGAGCCTCCATGCCCAGCCGTGCTGCTGCTGCTGCTGCTTTTTTTTTTTTTTTTTTTTTTTTGAGATGGAGTCTTGCTCTGTAGCCCAGGCTGGAGTGCAGTGGCGTGATCTCAGTTCACTGCAACCTCCACCTCCCAGGTCCTGATTCAAGCAATTCTCCTGCCTCAGCCTCCCAAGTAGCTGGGATTACAGGCACAAGCCACCAGGCCCAGCTAATTTTTGTATTTTTTAGTAGAGACGGTGTTTCACCATGTCGGCCGGTCTAGTCTTGAACTCCTGACCTCATGATCCACTGGCCTCGGCCTCCCAAAGTGCTGGGATTACAGGCATGAGCCTCCACGCCCAGTTTTGCTTCTCTTTTTTTTTAATGATCTCGAGTCCTCCAGAGGGTTTGTCACCCCAGTTCACTGGCTCTCTCCCCTCGGGAGCACCGGTTGGGGAAGGAGGAAAGACCACAAGGGGATGGAACTTAGGAGGCCAGGTTGCCAGATAGCTCACCTATGGGGAGTGCAGGAGAGGAGAGGCCGCCTACGGACCCTGCTCCGCACCGGGGGCCCCTCCCTCCGTGTTCCTACCGTGTCTGTAGACTGCCAGGCACTCCTGCAGCTGGGCTGGGGTTCGGGTGGCAAGAATTTCCATGGCCACATCCACAGCAGAATTTGAAGCCTACAGGAAATTGGGAGTCGACTCTGAGACCGGCCAGGTCCTTCGAATGGCAGACAGACGGGCAGACGCTGGCCGCTTCTCCTTCTAAGGGACAATATGGGATGACGAGAAGGGGACTCTGGAGCGGGCGAAGCTTTCTCCCATCCCCAGACACCCCAGCAAGTCTCCCCTCCTGCTACCTTCAGCACTGTCCTCAATTCCTGGGCGTCAAACTGGGCTGCGGGCTGCAGCAGAGCCACCACGATCCTCTCCAGGTTGCCAGAAAGCGCTGCCTGTAGGGACTTCAGCAGGTCCTACAATCGATTGTCCCCACAGCAGGGGCACGAGGGTGAGGGGCAGGAGCCCAGAAGCGTGGGGAGGTTTGGTTTGGGAAGATTGGGCTGGGTTTCATCCCCTGTGGCTGTTGCCGTCTCGCGAGTCCTCCAGGGGGTCTCCCACCCCAGTCCACTGCTGTGGGAGGTCAGCGTGGTCTCACCTGTTGGGTGCGCTCCTGGAAAGCTCGAGAGATGAGCTGCCTTTGCTCTCTGCTCCGGTTGGTCAGCACCTCGACAATGGCACAGCAGTCCACACCTGAACCGAGATGAGGGCTGGCTGTGAGCAGGGTCTTTGTGTTTGAGATGGAGTCTCGCTCTGCTGCCAGACTGGAGTGCAGGGCGCGATCTCGGCTCACGGCAACCTCTGCCTCCCGGGTTCAAGCGATTCTCTGCCTCACCTCCCAAGTAGCCGGGACTACAGGCGCACGCCACAACGCCTGGCTAATTTTTGTATTTTTAGTAGAGATGGGGTTTCACCATGTTGGCCAGGATGGTCTCTGTCTCTTGACCTCTTGACCCGCCCGCCTTGGCCTCCTAAAATGCTGGGATTACAGGTGTGAGCCACCGTGCCCGGCCCAGCAGGACCTTTACATAGTTGGGATGCCCCTACTCCCTGGAGGAGGGAAGGAGCTCCAGGAAAAGGGTTAGGAAGGAAAGGAGCATCAGCTATTTCACCCCCTTCCATTTGATCTCAAAAGAAGTTGCAAATAAAATGCCAAAACAGCATGCAAATCTGACCCAGACCAGGGCAAAGGTGGCCTGGTGGGGTGGTAAGAAAAAATGATTTGGGGGGATTGGTTGACCTAGATGAGAATCCCGGTTCTGTCATTACGAGCTGAGCCACCTTGGGCAAGCCTCCTCATCTCCCTGAGGCCCAGTTTCCTCATCTGGAAAATGCAAATAATAAGCCTTGCCTTACAGGGCTGTTGTGAAGATGGGTATGACACACCTACTGCAGTGCCTGGCACGCAAGAATGAAGGCCATCCACGAACGTTTCCCCAGCATGGCTAGTTCCTCCCTCCTGGGTCCTCCGTGGTCTACAGAGTGGCTCTAAAAGGCAGCCTCAAGTGCGGAGGGGAAGGGGCTCACCTTGGCCGGTAATGGCCCTCAGCAGCCTCTGCACATCCTTGTCCACGCTGAAGCTCAGGAAGGTCCTGAGGGTGCCCAGGGTCCCCCACGCTGCAGTCTGTGGGAGCACGGGGCGGTTGGCAGGGGCCAGGCTGCCCACCCCCTCTCAGGGCCTGTGCTCTACTTCCTGCCTCCCATCCTCTCACAGCTGGAGCTGAGATGTTAAAAGTGACGTCTAAAATCTCAACAGCACCTACCTTGCTGGCCAGGCCCAGGTGGCTGAGGATCTCCTGGGTGACGGATGGTGCCATCTTACTGCCATTCACAGACATGCTGCTACTGGCTGTCCTGGGGAAGGAACAGGAACCCACAGAGCTGAATTCCCCAGCCCTTTGTGGACTCCTTATGACCGCCCCCCGCCCCCCCAGACCTTGGAGCCTGGGTTCCAGTCACTTCTTTCCCTTGCTGCAGAAAAAAAGATCATCCTGCTTAGGCTTGGAGCCAGAACTGGAGCTGAAATGGTGGGGTAAGAGGGGGGCCCCCACCTTCCCCAGCTCTCTCCGTTCCTTTAGGAAGTGGGGATTGATGTGGGATGCTCCTGGACCAGGCGCCAGCCCTCCCCGACGCCAGGGTCAGCACCAAGGCTCCTCAGGTCTTGGTCTGGGGTAGATGCCCCACTTCTGAGGTCTTTGACCCTCCTTCTCGGGCCTGGCTGGGGTCTTCCGGGGCAGTGTAGGGGGGCTGAGGTGAGTTGGCAGGATGAAGCCTGCAGAGCGGGAGACAACTCCAAATAGCATCTTCCCCGACCCGCAGCCCCAGGTGACAGGCCGAGCTCACGTCCCGCCAGCACGGCTGCCTACCTGCTCGGCGGCCTCTCACCCTCGGAGCCGGGGGCTGGAATCTCGAGGTCAGCAGGTGCAATCTCTGCGCTGATGTGAGCAAGCGTTCTCGAAAGTACATGGATTCCTGGACGGGACGGGAGGCGCTCTCGGGTTGGAAGAGGAAAGCTCATTCTTCCCTCTCCCAAGCAGTCGACTGGTCTCCGGGACGGGGGCGCAGGCCTAGTGCTGACCTAGAGGTGCGAGGGGCGAGGTGGGTGTCCTTGTCGTGGGCTGGTGGCTCGCCTGTGAGAGGACCAGCTCCGGGGTGGCCTGGTAGAGGAAAGGGGGGCGTGTGCAGCCTAGGCTGAACAGCCAGTCAGAGGACCTCGCTCAGGGACCAACCCAGCTGCTGTCTGGCTCTGGCCCCTCCCCGACGTGGGAGAGGAACGGGAGAGTCCCACGTGCAGACGCCTTCCTGCCCATCATCTCTTTTCCCAGGAACTGGGTCTCAACCCACGTGGGTAAACTCCGCTCAGCCTCACAGCGGCTCAGCCTCACACACAGGCGGCTTTGTGCACCGCCTTCCCTGGCAGGTCCAGGTGGGACCACAGAGGCCTAGTCACAAGGTCCGGCTTCTGACCTGGCTCTGCCCCTGGCTCCAGCTCCCTGGGGGGCAGGTCAGACAGGCTGCAGGCTGGTTTCAAGGCTGATAGGGAAAAACCTGTCGGGGCACATACCAGCAGCGCACCCCAGCCTGCACCCCAGAGGGGGTCCCAGCCCAGAAACTCCCTTGACTGCTGCCTTATTAGAGCCAGCCAGCCTGGGTGGAGAGGGCCCGGGGACTGTTGATATCTGTGGAGAAGGAAGGGCCCAAGTATTTGGGGGTGGAAGCTGAGGAACAGAGTCAAGAGAGAAAAATGCAAAGGGTGTTACCTTCAGAGGGAAGCGCTGCGCTCCCAAAAGGCAACAGGGAGATGGGGGAGGCTCCCTGGCCTGGTTTCTTAGATTCCTTCTGTTGCCTTCCGCAGCCGGGGCCCTTTGGCTGTTTTAGCTGCAACCGCAGCAGCTGGGCTTGAGGCTGTCTGTGCGCAGAGCAGCAGGTGAACAGCCCTGCCGAGCCCCGGCGCCCCCACGCAGCAGCTGCTCCGGCCTCACAGCTGGCTCCCTTGGGTCTGAACCCAGTCTCCTTCCTGCCTCTCTGGAGAGCTGGGGTAGGGGCGGGTCACGGAAGCTAGAGGCCTGCCTCCACTCCTCTGCCTCCCTCCCAACCTAGGAAGGACTCCGCTGGGATTCCTGTATCCCTGGAGGAGGGACTGCAGCGGCTCCGGCACACTGAGTAGACCAGGCTGGAGGACACGACACGAAGGGACATGTCTGCGGTGGTGATCACGGCGCCTCACTTTCTCTCCTGTTGAAGTGGAAAACATGCACCTGTGTCAGAACTGGAGACTGAAGGTTCAATCCCCGGCTCTGCCATCTATGTTCTGGAAGCTTTGCTAGTCCTTCAGCTTTCTAAATGAGAGAGACGGAGGCGGTGGAACATGCTGGCGCCTCCGAGGACAGGTTTCCTGGGATGATTAAATGAAGTAATGTGACCTCTAGAGAAACACCACCTCCTCCCCCAAAGCTACTGAACTAATAATGCAAAATAAAAATATAAAAATGGGGTAATATGTGCAATTGCGTGTGGTCGAGAAAAGTGCCTTGTAAATTAGGGTTTTTAGATTAAATAGAGAAAAATACAAGACATGCAGCTCAATTAGAATTTCACATAAATGAGGAATCATTTGTTGGTACAAGTATGACCCAAATATTTCATGAAATATACTTTTTTTTTTTTTGAGACGGAGTTTCGCTCTTGTTACCCAGGCTGGAGTGCAATGGTGCGATCTCGGCTCACCACAACCTCCGCCTCCTGGGTTCAGGCAATTCTCCTGCCTCAGCCTCCTGAGTAGCTGGAATTACAGGCACGTGCCACCATGCCCAGCTAATTTTTTTGTATTTTTAGTAGAGACGGGGTTTCACCGTGTTGACCAGGATGGTCTCGATCTCTCGACCTCGTGATCCACCCGCCTCGGCCTCCCAAAGTGCTGGGATTACAGGCTTGAGCCACCGCGCCCGGCCTGCTTTTTTTTTTTTTTTTTTTTTTGAGACAGAGTCTCACTCACTTTGTTGCCCAGGCTGGAGTGTAGTGGTGCTATCTCGGCTCACTGCAACCTACACCTCTAGGGTTCAAGCAATTCTTCTGCCTCAGCCTCCTGAGTAGTTGGGATTATAGGTGTCTGCTACCATGCCTGGCTGATTTTTGCATTTTTAGTGGAGACGGGGTTTCATCATGTTGGTCAGGCTGGTCTCAAATTTCAGACCTCAGGTGATGTGCCCACCTCAGCCTCCCAAAGTGCTGGGATTACAGGTGTGAGCCACCTCCTGTAATTATTACTTTTTGTTTATCTGAAATTATAGTTTACAGTGTGCCCTGTATTTCACCTGACAACCCAAAAATGGGACTCAGTCTCAGCGTGCGTGGTGGGTGAAAACAAAGCTTCTGGAGCCAGAATTCTCAGAGGCGAGATTCTGGTCTTCTGTGTGACCTTGGGCAACTGTGCTCACTTTCCTCATCAACAGACACACAGTGGTGTTCGCGTTGTAGGTTGTTGTGAGAAATAAGTACAGTGCATATAAAGCACTTAGAAGAGTTGTGGGCACAGCGCCGTTAAGTGGAAATGTCACAATGTTAACTAATATAACAGTAAGCATTGTGATACGGTAACTGTTACTGTTGTTGCTACTTAACCTCTCTGAGAAGTCAGATCTTGGCTCCCTTCTGAAACTTTGCTTGCCAATCCCAAAATGGCCACAAGAGGGCGCGCGCAGCCCCTGAGCGTCTGGGGCCCCCTAGTGGTCCCTTGAGGTCTCTGGCTCCAGCCCCACCTACCAGGGGGCGGTCTCAGCCCACGTGGGAAGTGCAGCCTCCTGAGGACGCCAGGTTCCTGGGTGGCCCTGGCATGCGAGTAGCATCAGGGGAAGAGCCTCAGGTAGATCTTACGCAGGGGAGCCGCCGAGACTGACCTCGGACACGTGCGGGAGACTGGGTGACCGCACTTAGGCTGGGTAGCCATGGGAGGCTGCTCAGCAGCTGGGGACCCCCGGCCCTCGGCTTTCTGTACCTGGCTACCTTCCCTGCAGACTTACGGGGAACTGAAGGAACCGTGAGGCCTCCTGCTTCCCCCGCGCCAAACGTCTCCAGGGGACTCCCGGCCAATCCGCCGGGCTGAACTCTGACTTTGGAAAGGCCGGCAGAAGCTCGGTCACGTGGCAGAAGCGAAGTCCCTGCTTGTGAGGAGTGTGTGTGTGTGTGTGTGTGTGTGTGTGTGTGTGTGTGATGCCTTCACGGTCGCTGCACGGAAGCCTGGTGCAAGCGCGCTGCTCTCCCTGGGTGCTGTTTTGTTCAACTTCAGGGCCAGACTGCAGCTGCTGTCAGACGTACGGATCACCTTCCACCCCCATGCGGTACATTTTAGAACTGGAGAGTGGAGGAAATCTTAGAGAAGATCTCATCTACCACCCTTTTATGACTGACTCAAGGAGGCCGAGTGACTTCCCAAGGCCGCAGAGTTGGAACCGGCATCCAGGTTTCTCAACTGCCGCTCGGTGTTTTCTTCCTCCCTCGGTGTGGGCAAAGCGGATTTGGGCTCCCTCTTAGCGGAATACAGGGGAAAGGCAGCCAGCCACATACAGTGCCTCCGCTGCGTGCCCGGTCCGCCTCTTCAGCGCCCAAGTCCTACGTTGCTTTCATTGATTCATTTGTTTAGTTATCTATTGAGACCGAGTCTCACTCTGTCGCCCAGGCTGGAGTGCAGTGGTGTGATCTCAGGTCACTGTAACCTCTGTCTCCCGGGTTCACGTGATTCTCCTGCCTCAGCCTCCCAGGTAGCTGGGATTACAGGCACCCACCACCATGCCCAGCTAATTTTTGTATTTTTAGTAGAGACAGGGTTTCACCATGTTGGCCAGGCTGGTCTCAAACTCCTGACCTCAGGTGATCCACCCACCTCGGCCTCCCAAAGTGCTGGGATTATAGGGGTAAGCCACTGCACCCGGCCTTTTATTTATTTTTGAGACAGAGTCTCGTTCTGTCACCCAGGCTGGAGTGCAGTGGCGCGATCTCGGCTCACTGCAACCTCCCCCTCCTGGGTTCAAGCGATCCTCCTGCCTCAGCTTCCCAAGTAGCTGGGACAGGCATGCGTCCCCATGCCCAGCTAATTTTTGTATTTTTAGTAGAGACGGGGTTTCACCACATTGGCCAGGCTAGTCTTGAACTCCTTACCTCAGGTGATCCACCCACCTTGGCCTCCCAAAGTGCTGGGATTACAGGCGTGAGTCATCGTGCCCGGTCCCTACATTGCTTTTCTGCAAATACTTTCCATTGCCTGATTTCAGAATACATAGAAACTCCTCTTGGCTATTTTGCCTCTTGTTAGGAAATGTTTCCTCCCTGCAACTCCTGGCCCCTGAATCTCTCTTAGGCACTAGCCAGGCTCGGCTTCTTAGCCAAATAGGCTTCAGTGTTAACAGTCCCACCTGACCTGATAAACCCACCTTCCACATTTGGGCTCCACGCATGTTTGCTCATCTGCAAAACCTGGTCAGATATCTGCACTCTGGGCTGAAGGCCTGGAGATGGCCTGTCCTCTCCTTGGGACACCTCAGCAGCCCATACAGAGGAAGTGAGTCACTGCAAGGCAGGCAGGACTTGGGGCACTGTGGGCGTGGCCATGCCAGCCTGGGCGTCGGGGGATGGGTTGGAAGGGTGGCGATCACAGTCGCTGGTCCAGCCAGGGCAAGTGGTGTGTGTGCTCCCCAAGCATGTCGGCAGGGCTGGTGGCATCATCCCAGTGCTGGCTGAGGCCCAGTTTCCCCATCTCCATCCACCTTCTCCTTTGTCCCCTGGGGGAGGAGGATACCCTCTTATCTTTATTTCTCAGGCCCCGGTTATCCAACTTCAGCCCCAGGACTTCCCCTCCCCTCTGTTATCTTAAAAAAAAAAAAAAAAATTAGCCAGTCTTCAGTCCTCCTGAGGAAGCATTTGGAGAGTCTGGTGGGAACTACAGGAAAGCCTGGCACTTAGGAAAACCACCTAAGAAAGGGATTCGAAACTAAAAGAAGGAAGATGAGTAGGATGAAGGTGTGGAGAGTGTTAGAGACCCAAAGGAGAGCTGGGGCCCAAAGAGGAACCCCTGGAACTGTGCTGGAAAAAAAGGTGTGTAGGTGTGTAGCAGATAAGGACTCTGGGGAGGGCACTGAAGAAACGAAGAGGGCACTCTGGCATTGAAGGCTGAGGGAGGAGAGTTACAAAGGGGTAGAAAGAGACAACTGGCCTTCAAGTTGGCTCACGCCTGTAATCTCAGCACTTTGGGAGGCCAAGGCGGGCAGAGTGCCTGAGCTCAGGAGTTTGAGACCAGCCTGGGCAATACGGTGAAACTCTGTCTCTACTAAAAAATTAGCCCGGTGTGGTGGTGCATATGCCTGTAATCCCGGCTGCTCGGGAGGCTGAGGCAGGAGGATTGCTTGAACCCAGGAGGCAGAGGTTGCAGCGAGCCGAGATTGTGCCACTGCACTCCAGCCTGGGCGAGACTCCGTCTCAAAACAAAAACAAAACAAAATCAAGAAAGGCCAAGGCGGGCGGATCACTTGAGCTCAGGAGTTCATGAAGAGCCTGAGCAACATGGTGAAATCTTGTGTCTCTATCAAAAATACAAAAATGAGCCCGGTGTGGTGGCACCACCTGTGGTCACTGCTACTTGGGAGGCTGAGGGGGGAGGATTGCTTGAGCCCAGGAGGTCGAGGCTGCAGTGAGAGTGAGACCCAGTCTCCAAAAGAAGAAAGGAAAGAAAAGAAAGATAAGACAGAAGATCCGCTAATAAGGGAAGGAGGAGAAAACAGGGCTGGAGGGGTTGCTGGAAATTGGGAAATCAGTCAAGGGAAGAGCCAGGAGAAGCCCTGGGAGCTGGTTAGGGACTGTGACTCTCTTTGCTCCCATGGTGTGCCTGGGTTGCAGGTGCCCAAGAAAAGAGCAGCTGAACAAACAGGTGAGTTGGTCAGTCTCTGCCTCCCTACCCTCCAGAAAGATCCTGAGGTGAGGGATGAGCCCCCTAGCTGGATTCGTGGGGGTCACACTCCTTCCTACAGGATTTTACCAGATAAACCGAGCTACTGTCAGAGGCTCAGACTGCGGCAGCATAAAAAAGGCAACACTTTCTCAAGGTAAGAAATTTGATGAAGGTACCTCTCCACGGAGTAAGCCGCAGCTCTCCCTGTATGTGAGCCCACAGATACACCTTAGTCAACATTCGTTCAGGTTAAGAGCTAAGGCCAGCTTTCTAGGAAAAACATGTTGCATCTTCCTG